CTCCCTAATCTTCTGATAAACCTCCTCCACACTCCCCACTGCCTCAACACTTATCACCTTCCCCTCCTTCTCATAATAGTGAATAACTGGCATGCTCGTCTCCTCAAAGACCCGGAACCTCTTCCGTATAGACTCGATATTATCGTCATCACGTCCGCTCGTCTCCCCACGCTTGAGCAGCCGGTCCAACATGACATCCTCGGAACAGCGGAGGAACAGCGTAGCCGTGGACGGACATACCGTATCTTCGAAGAAGGTCGCCTGGTCCATCTTGCGCGGGAAACCGTCGATCAGGAACCGCGCTCTCACTTCACTATTATCGACATCCTGCTGTTGCTGCTGCTGCTGCTGCTGCAACTGCTTCTTCTTCTTCTTCTTCTCCTCCTCTAATATCTGCCCCATGGCATTGGACAACAGCGCCACAGTGATCTCCATGGGCACAATGATGCCCTCGCGAATATGGTGGCGGATCAGGTCACCGTACAGCGAGCCTTTGCGTTGTTGCTCGGCTCGCAGCAAATCGCCAGCAGACAGATGGTTGAACCCATAGTCGCGGACGAGGTTTGCGGATTGCGTGCCCTTGCCGGAACCGGGGCCGCCAAGAACGAAGATTACGGTTATGGAATCCGGAGAGAATTTCGGGGTGGAATTTGTTGAGGATTGGGGTGGGGGTAGTTCGGCGGGGATTGAAGATGTGGGTAATTCAGTTATCTGTTGTTGTTGGGACATTCTTCGGGGTGCGAGATTTCACGAGGAAGACGTAGGAGCCGCTGCCGATGAGGGTGATTAGGAGGCAGGGGATGATTTTGAATTCTGAAGAGGGTTTCTGGGGTGGTTTGTTTGGAGAGGCGGTGGAGTGGGAGGGGGAGGAGAATCGAGGGCGGGATGAAAAGGAAGCAAGCGGCTGGTGGGGTTGTTTGAGGAGGATGGGAGAGCCGGACACAACCCGGTGTGGAAGATTGAGCCGCGTGGAAGCAAGGCGAGATGTGCTAGTGAGCAAACGGGGGAGAGTGAGCGGCATTCTTTGCTTCTTGACAGTGGTAAACTGGAATTTAAAAGAAGTAGAACCGTTGGGTGGTTGTTTTTCGCATCGGACGGTGGTTTGAGGAAAAGAAATATTTTTCACGGAATCTGGTTGGCTGGGAGAACGCCGAGGACAAGGACTTGTAACTATGCATGTACTCACCAGCAGAATTTGCTCGGGGGGTACATGGGTGTTTCCCATTGGCACATGCGGTTGGATATTACAAATTTACACAATACTAAATATCCACGAATATTAGGAGTGAGACTATTGTTCTATTTATTTCATCATTGCGTTGGCGAATGCTGTGATATTCTGATATCTGTGGGCGGCTGTTTTCTCAAGGGTAACTAACTTGATCATTCACCAAGAAAATAGGAAGAGATATTTAGATATGTACACTACTGCTGGATGTCAATGGTATAGTTAACATCTCATGAGCATAAGGGCCGAATAATTCGATCTCTAGATGATGACAGGATACGCTTTTATACCAGGCCAGCTACGTTCACCTCAATTTCCCGGTTCTATCTCAAAATAACCACTCTCGTCTTCTCCTCCAGCTTGCAGCTTAGCAACGGTTGACAACGCGGTCCACATCCTAGAGAATGGCACCCCCTGACCGCTTCAGACCGTTCAAATGGAAGTTAGATGGCCCCCCGATATATATAACCCAAATGACAGACATAACTTTACACTCGGTATCAGGGATCCAAAACAGGCGACAAGTCCAGTGCCTGGGAAACGGTGATTCAGCTCCACCCGAGTTAGTATCCCCCACCACTGTTCTGAAGCCGATAGCCAATGTGCTCCGCTGTCTGGAAACAGAGCACTCACCTGGGTAGCATCAGGGACAGTACGCACATGAAGCATAGGTTCAATACAAATGGGACATGGACTGAGCCGAGCGTGTCTCGCGCCACTGTCTGGTTCCAAGTCACTGCTCGATAACGCGATGTGCAGTGGTCCCTCGCCTGTTCTGATTGATCTCCCTCTTTTCGGCCACTCGGTTCCAATTTTGTTTAGATCTCTGGCGTTATTTGATACAATCTCCATTCCTCGAATTCCCCATTTGATCTCTTGCCTGGTGTCACTCCAGTCTGGCAATGTGAATCAACTTTCCTGATCCTGGAATCGCGACTCGACTTGCCGTATGAGAGAAACTGAAGCATCTTCCCTTTCCCTTCCCAGATCGGGGGATACAAATACACGAGATTAACTGTCTGCGCTAGACAAAGAAAGAGTGTTTCTTTCCTACCAGCTAAAGATGCAGAGAGAATTTTGGTTGTCCTGGGAGCCCTTGCGATGGACGTGAGGATTCCATATGCTTCCTCGCGAGGGGTTTGAATAACCTATATGGCATTTGGTCCTCCTGACATCATGGACAAACTCTGCATCAGAAGAGAGGTCATGTATGTATGTCCCCTGATGTCCGTACATGAATGCATGCCCAATCCATGCAGAAACAGAGCAAACTAGGAAGCAAGAGACTACGTAATCCAACTCAATGGGATTGTTGCTGAACTGGCGTCTGAAAATCCAGTTAAACTACAAACCACAGATTGATCCGTTATTGATCTCTGGCGACCAAGATAAGGTTATGGGGCATCTATCAACCTTAAACCATCAACCTCGAAATCAAACACGATCATTATTTTTGCAGCTGGTTTAGTGGAAAATACAATAACTTATCTCAGCCGCGATGTTAAAATAGTATATTATTTTCGGAGTTGTGGTTGATTGTGCGTTTCGGAAATTTTGTTCGAAAGCCAGACAAAAATCCTGGTACCAACACAGGAATGAGTCTATCTGCAATCCACAGAGGGATTCATGGTTGCGTCCACTGTGCTGAAGTGGGTGGCATATCCATGAATCCAAACTGTGCGCATTAAGCCAAGAATAATCCACTTATGGCCAATTCACCACATTACCACATTGAAGACAACATTGTTTCGTCTTGGCTGAGGGCATAGGCAAGTGACGTGTATTCATCACAAGCTAGCTACTGACTAGTTCAATAAACTCGCTTGAAGAATAAGCAAGACCTGCAAAAAGTCCACAATCTCAGAATATTGCCTCCCTTGCAATCATGACCGTAACATTCAAACATGATAGCCCCAGCTGTTAGCCTCGAGGTTCAGGTGCGATTACTTAGGCCTGAAGCTCACTTCTGCCATATAGTTATAAGCTAGAAGCCACCACGGTGCGAGCTCAATATGAAAAATCGGATCGCCGAATAATAAAGAAGCCAAAACATTCAGGCCCAACTGAGGGAAATTTTGACTGGAGCAGTGGAAAGTGAGCTTCTTTTGTTTCTTTAATCAAGTGCAGATATCTAGCTGCTTTATTGCATACTGCAGCATTCTTCACCCCTTGCTCCCATCAACATCCGTCACACTTGCAAGTGGAGCTAGTTAGGGGGAACCATCGCACCAGCCCACTGAGCCCGTCTTCCCCGCCTCTGTGATCAACGGGAATCTCCCACTCCAGCCTTGTGATTGGTGGCTTTCAATAGTGCTTTTCCTGCACTTTCACCAGTCGCACAGAGCACCAACCAAACACCATGTGCGATGGAGATGTTCCCTCATCGGTCGATCCATTTGGTCTGTTTCCTGGCTGTGATTGGAGTATCTGTGCCTCCTTTGCCGCTGAACTAAAAGATGTTCAACGTCAGGTTCTGGACGTCCATTGGCCAGCGGTGCCAAGTTGCCAACCAAAATGCAGTTCAATACCCGCCTGTGAGTTTAGGGGAAGAAAAGATGCGTCCATTTCTGGGCGCTAAGTTACGGTCGACAGAGATTTGTGAGTGGAGAAAATCATATCTGATTGGGGCAGTCTTTTCGTCAGCCAACGAACGGGAAGTCGGAAACAAGGGACTGATCGAGGCTGTTGCATGTAACCGCCGACAAGGACAGACAGAAATGTGAGAACCAAGAACTCGCCAGGACGGTCAAGCTGCGGCCACCGACTGGGCATCCATGGATACATTAGTTATTCGCTGCAAAGAGGGATGAAATACAGTCCTGGCCCTGTTCAACCTTCAGCTTGGTTCCCTTCCATTTTTCCTTTTCTCTTGTCGATCTTCCTTCCATCCTCCCGTCTTATTCTCCTCAAATCTATTTGGAGATTGCGAGTTTATACCTCCCGAATGAAAACTCCTAGTTAACCCCGTTCAATCCACACAACCCACCCGGGCGCTTAACCAGCACTTCCTTCGCCAGCATTGATTTTTTTATTGGTTTGCGCAGAACCGAGTCGACGTCTCTCATATCCTCCTCTTCTAAGCCCTCTCCCTCCCTCTTCCCCGTTTCTCCTCATCTCTCGATTTGACCATTCAACCTCGCTCTTCTTACTTCCCCTTCCTCCTACCTATCAACCCTGATTTCCTACCATTTACATTCTTTACTCTGCGGCCGGCATCGCGGATACAATCAGCACTTTTACTCTCCAGAGCTGAGCTTAGTTGACCGACATAATTATTCGGGAAGGAGAACGAGAAGAATTTCCATTTGGCAGATATTTCACAGAAGACAATAATCTACTTCGATCATCCAAGATTGGTGAAAATTGTTATACTTTCTGTATATCACCTGTAGCAGGTTTGCTGGCGTTCCTTCACCAGGTATGCAATTTGAACATTTGATTCTCTCTATACTTTACTTTTGGCTTTCGATGCCATTGATCTACCTTATTGCAGAGACATAGATTGCTGATAGTTTTTCCCCTTTCAAGAACATCGTTGTCATTCCATTGTTCAATAATACTATCGTTTGAGGCTTCCATTCTCCCACGGTTTGCGAAATTCGTACTTCTTTCCGCGTATAACCTGCCATCCGTTACTTCCGAGCTGGTCTCTTCGACATATACCTCATCATCGCGAGTCCGAAGTAACCCACACACATTCATATCTGTGGTGGTTTAAGGACCTCGACGATAACCAACAGCACTCGGGCGACGGCGACACAAGTCTTTTGCTATGACATATTCGAACTCCAATAGCGATCGCTTTGAGCAGTGCGAGCCAGTTTCCCCCGTAGACATTGTTCAGCCGCAACGTTCCAAGGCTGTTGGTTTTATAATGTCTTCTAACAAAGATATGAACGAAAAGCAGGAGAATCCTGGTGCCCCTAGCCTTATATCTCCCCGGACAGCTCGTTTCGCAGAAGCCACATCAGTCCATTCTCCATCTGAACTTTCTGGAACATCTCCCTTTGCGGATCCGCCCTCTATGTCAAAAACCAGCCAGCACGCTCAGGTCTCGGACCTCGGCTTTGGATATATGGCAGATAACAAACCTGATCGTAATGAAGATCAATCTCAGACCGGAACAACCCGGCTAAATCCTCCAAACTCACCCCTAAAAAGTGCCATGAAATCCCCTGGTGCTGCTGGCCGTTCAGTCATGCTCAGTCCAACCTTCCGTGAGGAGCAGATACTGGAGCACCATGAGAAGGACACAGAGAAGGCAAATGCAAAAGATCTTGTACGTTTCAACACCTCATTTCTCCAAATGTCATTCATTTACTTTTATCCCTTGGATTGCCTACAATTTGGCACTGACATCGATTTAGAAAATCAAAACACGTGTGCAACTGGCGAAGTTAATGCTTCGTGGTGTCAGCTTCGGCTGCAGTTTGATCATTCTCTCCTTGGTAGCGACGAGCTTTGTCATTTTTAATGCCACAAAGAATCTGGCCCAGAAGAACAGCTTCAATGCCTGGGCGCCAAACACTCCTCTGTGGCCCCAGATACTCATCCTTTCTATTGCCTCGATATCTCTCCTTTTCTGCATTGGAGTTTTCTACGGCTACTTCCGTGGCGGCCACAAACGCGCAGAAAAGGTAGCCGTTTACTATACCGTTTTCTCTGTCATGTTTTTCATTGTCACCCTAGTCATGTGGGTTACAGGTGCAGCTGTACTTCAGAATAGCAAACAGTCTAACGGGAACAAAGACATATGGAGTTGGGCCTGTGCCGAAGGTCCTAGAAGGGAGTTCTACAAGAACGAGGTTGACTATAAACTTGTTTGCCGCATGCAGGTGAGCGCGGGCTTATTCCTTACCATTTTGAGGGGGGAAAAAAGAACTAATTTCTTCTTAGGACTGGGCACTTGTATGTTGCGTCATTGAGGTTATCATTGAAGTGCTTGTCATCTGCATCTATGCCGTGGTTTTCTACCGCTTCTACTCGAAGCGCAAGCTCCGCAAATCCATGGATGTGCGCGACAAAGCCCGATCTGATCTCTACCTCGCCCAACTCCGCAGCCAGTCTGCTCCCAACACCCCTGGATTTGCCCGCACGCCTGGGTTCGCATCACCATCAATGAGTCCCATGAAGCGAGGAGATCATTATTCCAACGCTGAGGGTGGCTATGCGACACAGTACGCAACTCCCCAGTCCCCAGAAGCCACCTATGCTTTTGGACAACGACTGTTCCAACTCCGCCCGCCCCCAATCCGTGTCCAAGATTCCACCCCCAAACTTTCACAGGATGAATTCATAACACCGATGACCCCGACCACCCATGAACGAAGGAACCAACATGTCGACGCCGCGCCTGGTGAGCAGATATATGCAAGCGTACCAATCCCAGGCGCTTACGCAACGCCCCTACAAGTCCCAGCTTCTCTCCAACAACTCGAGACAGTGACGTCGCCCCTGGAATGGCAGTAACCACACAAGACCGCATTGTATCATCTCGAAACTCGTGATCTGCTGAAATCTTCAAATTTCGAAGAGATGCGATGAATCTCCCCAATCGCCAGCTTTGCACATCAACTTGTCACGCTGAGAGATAGTCACATACTGTACAATATTTTTATTTCAAACTGCATATACTGGGAAGAATCACATATCTAGATGCAGAAAGAGAACAAGCCCACTCTTTCATGGCCAGTCGTCTAAGTCTGTTTTCACGAAATGAACAAAGGGAATTGGAATCGGAAACTATTATTAGGTTGGCTTGGGACGCCTGCTAACTGTTCGTTGTTTCGTGGCTCATGGGGTGGCTTCGACCCGGGATTCCGATATAGGGAGAATCAAGGTGCATTTGGCGTTGTTCGGCTTTACTTCATCGTTTATTCTTTTTAATATATATCCATGATTAATAAATATGTTTGGGATCTTCCTTTGTCGAGCGAATCTCAAAATACTGACCCCTTTTCATCTTTGGAATAGTTGCCTGTGAACACCATGCTTTTTCCTTTGTGTTTTTGAGTTATAACTAGCCACAGAATTTCCACGGGGATTATTATTCGGCTGCTTTTTGGTGACGAGATGATGATATGCAAGAGGAAAAGGAGATGGCGAAATGAAGTAACCTGACTATGCTATATACCTCATTCTTTTCAACTTTTCCTTAGTTAAGTTATTTTTGGATATATATTTTCACCTTAATGCTTACCACCTCTCTCTGCTAGCACGCAAAATTCCTTCCCCCCCCTCATGCATATTGTTTTCATATGGCCATCACTCGCCCTCCTTTGATGTCCCTTTTTCCAGTATATTATATCTCGATGATATAAGACTATGAATGACCAATCGAACTGAAAATTTGCTGACCGAAACGAGGGGCTCTATGACGCTTTGAGCCAGCCAAAACCTAAAGTACCCCGGGGATTAGTGAAAGGAAAATAATATCTTGCCTTTCACGCCGAACTCAACCTTAACAGGACGATCCTCTGCGTCGGGGTGCGCGTTCAAGGGTGGCTCCGCAAACTAAAACTATATATATATCTGTAGTAGAAGTCTCACCTATATTGTTCATCTGGCCAATAGCCTAAAAATCCCGCCTATTCATGTAGATTTTTTAAACTTCCTTCGGCCCCCTGTTCTTATAGATTAAGTGTATAGATCAGACATGGGAGAAACCATGGATTATATATAGCTATTAATATAACCATGTTACCTCTGAAGAAGGAAAATCACCTGGGCTAATATCGGCCAGTCCCCAACGCCAGTAAACAGAAGGGAAATAGGGTGCAAAGGAAAAGCAGACGAATTCTATGAATATGTACCGATCCATTAAACCAGAAATACGAAACAAAAATTGAGACAAAAAAGGAAAAAATATCCAAGATGGATAAATGAGTAGAATAAGACCTCAATTCTGCTGTACTGTACCATTCCAAAGAACCGTCTCGCGCGGTGGTAAACATTGCTAGACCCAGCCTTCTATTAGGGTAAGGGAATTTGCAATTAACTCAAACTGTGAAAAAGGAAAACACACATATCTGTCCACCTAGGAGACGGATGGATACTTTAGACCTCCCCTTCAATAACAGCGCCTCCATCCTTAGTAACATAAATTTCCTCCAGTCCATTGTTCTCCCATCCATCCATGCCGCCTTTGTTTTGCAGGACAAGGCCTTTCTCATTAGCCAGATGAAGCAAGCAGATGAAACAATAGGACGTGCTAATATCACGCAACGCTTGTTCAGGATAGGAAGATTTAAGCCCTTGCATTACGGATGTAAATCGAAGCACCCCGCCTTCTGTACTGGTATCATCTTCTGTTGGCTTAGGGGTCTTTGACGAAACGGGGCTTGGACATTCCGTGTCATTTTCTTCAGAGACGGGCGTTAGTGAGCTTAGAGATGTTACGGCTGCTGAAGGTGAGGCTGAACTGAACGACGACGATGTGATTAATCGGTCACCAATACCTCTCCACATTTCTTCCTTCAGTCGCCGTACGTCAACTTTCTTGGCCACTCTTGCGTAGGCCACGTATTCGGGGCGTACTCTTCGACCACCTTGAGTGACAAGTTGAGAGCCAAATCCACCAGCACCTGTCAGTGCTCCGCCCGGAGTTGCAGCAGCGTTTAACAAAGCAGTGAGCCCTGAAAGACCACCTGGTTCGCCTGCAGAAGTGCCTGACGGGGCGTTAGAGTCAATAGTGGGTGAAAATGCTTCTCTCGCATCAGCGAATGGCATATTTTCGTCGTCATCATCACCTCCCAAAGGAAGGCCGTGAGGGAAGGCAAGACCCTCATCATCAGCAAAGAAGTCCGCGTCATAAGCACCGGTAGGAGCAGCACTCTCTTCCAGGCAGGTTTGTTCACTGCCTGCTTTGTGAGCAGCCCAGAACGCCTCGTCCATTTCGCTGTTGTTGACAATATTTTGTTGGCTCATATTCTGTCGACTTCTGGCAAGAGATCGGAATCCCATTCTAGCCTTGGGTTTGAGGAATAAGCGGAGAAGTTCTCGTGAATTAAAGTGTTTATCGTCTGGCAGAAGGTTCCTGCCTTTGGTCTTCCATTGTGCCTTCGGTAAGGATATCGCTGAATTAGAACTTGACGAAGTATAGATCATCTCCGCGAGCGTTGGATCAAGGGGTGAAGCAAAGTCAATTTCAAAGGGATCCTTCTCTTTACGTATCCGAGGAGGTGCACTAGATGCGGTGGTTGTCTCTTTGATTCGTCGAATTTTCCAATGTTCGGGGCCTGCCCAATTCTTTTGCAAAGCATTATCGAAATAACTAAGGATATTGTTATGCTCATTGGTGGTAGGTTGATGAGAGAGAGATATAGTATATGGATCATTAGAATCAAAATCATCCATTTCCTCATCACCACCAACGACACGATGGACTTTTAACATGGGTTCAAGCGCAGCGTCCCTAGCCCATGCCTCACCACCTTCACCGAAGCCCGCATCACCTCCCAAGTCGAAGCCGGTTATCGTCACATCATCATCATCAAATCCAACAGCAATATCGTCATCCAGCATGATTCCGGAGGCTTCTCCAACTCCTCTTTCAGACTGGGACTTGTCCTGTCGCCAATCATCAGGTGCACGTAGGAACGGAATATCAAGTGAACCACTGGGATCACCAAGATCGAAATCCTTCAGAGAGGGACAGATATCCTGATCATCCAGGCTATCTAAGCTTGAAAAGAATTTGTTGGCTAGGGGTCCAAGGTCGATTTCAATGTTTTCGTCGTCCCAATCACCCTTTTGTGCTGCTGGCGAAGGTTGAGGAGGTTTATCGGTTTCAACGGTCGCTTCTCGATCATCATTTTTAGAGGTCCAATCGCCATCTGCTGTGGAATCTCCAGCATCGTCGCTGCTGTCAAATACAATTCTACCGGTGCCGTCAATCGAGAGGTGATTGAGAAGAAGTCCCTTAGCTCCACCCTCATCGAAATCTGCGGAAGCTTTCTTGAATAGGGGATCCACTGAAAATTCCAGTTCGAACTTCTTTAATTGCAGAGAGGCAAACGACGGAGCCAGGGTGTTTTCGTGCGATCGGGTCTGACACAAAGCATGTAAGTGTCCAAAATATTAGACGATCTGAACCAAAAGAATATCGAGTCTTTACCTTTTTTTGCTTTTTTCTTTTCACACCGTCTTCCCCAGTCTCTTCCTCTTCCTCATCGTCACCTCCTTCGCCGCCATCTCCTTCATCCTGCTGTCTCTTCTTATTATTGCTATCTGCCAATCCACTCAGTAACTTGCCAGTCTCAGTAGCAACACTATCAACCCGACTAGTGTAGATTTTCACGCATCCGTCTAGCGTACAACTAGCTTTCTGGAAATTGACACCGTCGCCTTCCTTTAGCAGGGACATGTCGTGGAAGTAATCAATGAGGGCGAAATTCCACGAATTCGTCGCATTAATTTTGTTGTCAGTCGCCATTTTCATCCATTCTTCGAAGTTCGCGAGAATTGGTACTCGTTTCATTGGCGTGACTGCCCTGCCGTTGACAATCTGCCGGCCATCTGAATCTGTTTCTCTTGCCCCTCGTGTGCCGGAGCCCCGTGGGGTAAGTGGACTGATGCTCGATGCTCTTTCGTAGCTGTTGACCTTGCGAATCGGCGGCATAGGGGTCTTTACGGCGGCTTTAATTTGGTTCATTTGGAGATCATGGAGGGCCTGGCGGGACTGAAAGCGCATAACTTTCTCGCCCGCATCGTCGTTGAGTGGGATCCTGCAATTTGGTGAAGATGTAAGTAAGAGTTATTATTGACTCCGCGTCAACAATAAATATACAACGATGTAGGTTTCCCCTTTCTTCCTCACTCAGCGCCTTCCTCCTGCGCACACTCAACATACAATCCTCTTTCGCCCCCTTTGGGAAAAGGCAAGAGCTTACTTCATCGGAGAACTTTTATGCGGTGTCGTGGCTTGTTTGGAGGGCCCACGGCCATGACCCTTTTGCGGGGGATTCACGACTCGAGGCATGGCGGGTCGCAAGGGAGGTAGGTGGTGGAAAGCGAGAAATGAGATAAACACGGAAAAAATACAAAGATATTGCACAGGCACTAAATTTGTGCTGTCATCCCCAGTCGCGATATATGGTACTCGTTAAGCTACTGAAGGAGTGGGGCGCGGATATCGATAGGGTTCCTGACGGCACGTCGTCTGTTTCTGTCGCAACAACGCGAGAGCATTTTTGGACATCAACAATAAACATTCGGGGTGCTGTAAAGACCACATGCGTCGCTATGCTTATATCATCAAATATCACGTGATAGAGTCATGTGATGACGTTTTGGCGGGGCAGAAAGTAAGGTAGGCACTGTTGATATGTCTATGCAATGTAAACAGAAGCAAGCAGGATTTATATATATGTATATATGTATATATATTGTGGCTTGATGGGATGCAGTTATCTAGCTACTAGTTATCGTGTAGCAGACTCTCAAAGGATCCGACCTGTCGACTGAATAAATTCGTTGAACCACCGCGTCTCGGCTGATGTTTTTTACTCTCACTGCTCTCCCACATGTTCCGCACCAGGCACACCGTCCACATCTCCATTCTGTGGCATGTAGATATCATCTGGCAAGATAGCACATTCTATCCGCGTTGCCGTTGCAGGAAAGACGTACGACAGGGACAAATACACCAAGCTCGCACCCACTATCCCCACGAACCATCCAATTTGATACACATGCACACCCACACCAGGGTCAATGTTGTGGTTAACTGAATTGAAAAGCCCAGGCAAAGTGGGAGCCACACCCACGACAAACGCCAAAATAGCGCGCCAGTTGACACCATTAGTGTACCAGTAGATGTTGTCCGGTTGATAAAGAGCGACACAGTCATATTTTCTCTCCTTGACAACCCAAAAATCAAAGAGCATGATGCCCGCAATTGGCCCGAGAAACACCGCATACGCGGACATGAAGTTGAGGAAACTGCCCACGGATTTGAGGATTTTCCAGGGCAGAAGGATCCACGAGAGAAGCGCACAGAGCAATTGCCCGCGTCGGATGTTGACAAAGCGAGGGGCCACTGCCATAAGGTCATTCGCTGCCGATATGGAGTTGGCGGAGATATTTACTCCCAGGGATGAAAGCGCCAGGGAGAAGGCGCCAAAGAACCGGCAGGCCCGGTTTTCCCATAACGAAACCACGATGTTAGGATCCCACGGAATATCGGCTAACTTGTATTTCGATTGCGCGGCAGAGGACACGGCAACTCCAATGAATGAAATGAAGGTGAATACAATCGGAAGCATCGGGACGTATAGCGCTTGCCATTTGACGCTTACCCGTGAGTAACGAGAGAAATCAGCCTGTATTTTGACAGGTCGAAATGTTAACTCTCGACATTTTATATGTCCCATCGCGCCGCCTCATGTGACTACTTCGATCCACTTGAATGTAATTTGACCGAATTAGGTGACATCAAGAGAAACTGTTACTAACCTGGTTAACACTCAGCGTGGAAAAATTACCAATGACTGAAGTCAGGCTGGCCAGAAATGCCCAACTATATGCTGAGCCGGAAACCATTCGGTGCTGGCTGAAGATTTCTCCCCCGTTGGTCGACTTAAACGCCCATATCAGCATCGCAATCCACGCAATAGGGACAAGCACTGATTTCGCCATGAATAGCCACCGGAGGTTATTTGGATGCATGCATAAAAATGGAAACTGAATGATGAAAAAGATAAGGTATCCAACCATGCCGTTCGTCGTAATACCCTGGCTCTCTGGAATGTGATTCGGCAGTCTGAGAAAGCTCGGCCAGATGGCACCGATCATGGTTCGAACGGAATTGCCTCCATTGACGTTTTGGATCGCGAACCAGAAAACGGCCAGGATAACTCGTGAGATAACAGCGATGAACGATCCCCGGAAACCCCAGCTAGCTCTGGCGAGAACAGGGAACGGGGAATGGTAAATCACCCCAGTCGCGCCATTGAACGCAATAACCCATGATATAATGAAGAATGCTAGCGCGACGATTCCCAGAGACTCACGCCATGACAATCCGACAGCTATGATGCCGCTGGCAAACTGCCAGGTTCCAATGTTGACTGCATCGGAAATCCAGTAGGTAGTTAAACTGGCTACTCCCCATTTGCGCAGGTGACGTGGGATCGGATCTAAATCTCTATTTGTCCACCGCAAGTTTCCTTCAGCAAAGGCGGACTTAGGCTGCTCAACATGAAGCGAAGGCAACCGAAACTTCATACTTGTGTGTGAGAGAAGATGGATCAAGAGCACACAATGAATGCGGCCATGCCATTGATGAAATAAACGTCCCCTGATCCTGCGTCATATATCAGCAATAATGCAGGGTTTGAAGCTGAAAAATAATAATAATAATAATAAATAAATAAATAAATAAATTAAAAAAAAATTTAAAAAAATTAAAAAAAATAAAATCCAGAACGACCTGCAAACAACCGCAAACCGAACTGCTGCATCGTACGGCCGATCATTGGCAAATCTGGCTCTGGCGAATCGTGGGGGAGCATTTTGGCCACGAATCGATAAGCATGCAGCAACTTTTTCGGACTTGTGCGACATGAGAAGACTGATAATGGATGATCATGGATGATCGACATCCAACATTAAAAGCCCGTAAAATTTTGACTATGTTTAGAATAGTTCAACTTATCAAAACCGATGTAAACTATACGGTCAACCAAGGAGATGGATCGAGCTATTTAGGATCCCTTGATTTGACCATACTTGTTATTACTCCTACTTAAAGCATGATGATATTGCTCCGGGGCGAACGTTGAGGCTGACTGCTTCGAAGAGTTCTGCGTTACGAATTGCACCATTCGTTGGATGAATTTCTGCCAGCTAGAGGATCACACTGTCTGGATCAGGATTGCTCGAATATTAGCCATATTATCATATCATCCTGTCGACCAGCATAAACCAGCGCATATGAACATAGGGGAGTGGGAGATATGGTTTCCCGTCCGTTCAGCCGTATCACAAACCGCTCGCCGGGCTGTTTGTACTTGGGCGGGAGACTACCTGCGAATCTGGGCTTTCGTATATTTTTTCTGCATGATTTTTTGGACGATAATAAATGTTTAGCATCTGTATTTTTATTTTTAATTATTTAATTATTTATTGATTTATTTATTGGTATATCGAAGATGCGATTTGAGGGGGAATGAGTTAAACTACGCGTGAGTATTGGCAAGAGAGACAAGATTTATCGTTCGTATTAGTTCTTAGTATCACCTGAAATCCAATGCCACTTGACATTTTAACTGCCTGTTGGATGATGACTCCCATTATTCCCACCAACCATGAGAACTTCTGACTTTGCCCCAGTCAATTTCCTTTAATACTACTCTGAGAGAATTTTTTGTCAGAGTACGTCACAGACTTCCGCGGGTTTGATTAAGCGTTGGGATGGATGACAAATGCGTAATACGAAGGATGGTAAAACCAATGACTGTGGATGTTTTACTAAGGCAAGCTGCTGTATTTCTTCAGTCAACCTCTCGTTGAACTTTGGCACGTCCTTCGGTGCCCAGTGGGCAATCCCCTGTTGATTGGGAGCTTGCAATTTGCTTTGAGATTCCATGCCAGCTTGCCACTAGTAAAGTCAATGGTCCATTAAGAGACACAAAAGGTATGACATTCCAGCATATTCCCAGCATATTCCTGTTGTTCAAGGATTTTTTGCGGAGTTGCAGTATAAGGTACAACGGATGCAGCGGATGCAACGGACGGTGTATGCTTACTTGTTCCATTGCCCCCAAGTCCCCAAAGGTTGTTTTCTGGAGGCGCGTGTCTTGTCGTCGACCTTTTGCACTGCCACTCGGGGGACCCCTAGTTAGTTAGTAAGGGGAATGTAGTTGTATCACGTGATATCGATATACGTCAACCAGCTCTTATTTTCTCGAAATTGTGGATAAACCGGTTTACAAAGAGACACCGACGGACTCCATCAGCTCCGCGCAACAAGTATCAATTATGACAGGTCCTAAGCATCATCAGTTGGATCACTTATCATCCTCATGACCCTATAGCCATCCATATTGTGCAATAGATAGAAATCTCCAAACACTGAAGTTGTGGTCGCCCATGATGCATCTACGATGGCTGCAGCGCCATCATTATTGCTCCCCCGAGCACCCGCTCTCCGCAGATTTAAACCTCGTTATTCGAGCAGACCGTTCTATTTGACTCTTCTCATCCTTTCAGTTCTTGTTGGCGCGAGCATCTTGTTAACTACAGCTCCAAGACCACCCGAATCACCCAGGATATCATATCTTAAGAAGCGGCACGATGTCGTTCTTGGGGGATTTTACGGGCTGGTGTCGACGGAAGAGGGCTTAGACCAGGTACGCATCCAGAAAATGTTCCTGTCGTGTGCACGGAACTGACGATCCGTTAACTGTTGCTCTCTGAAGTGCAATTTGGTCCATCGAGCCCAAGACCAATGCGCCTTCGTCCGCCAATACTGCGCCGATCATGAAGTAGGCCTTTTCTCCTACCTACAGCTCTACTTCTGCAAACTCGCAAACGTAAAACCAATCGCACTTGCCATTCTAGCCGTATGGTTGGCAGTCCTTTTCAACACCATCGGGATTGCCGCCAGCGACTTTCTATGTGTCAACCTAAGCACCATCGCGAGCATCCTGGGAATGAGTGAAAGCTTGGCTGGTGTTACTTTCCTGGCCTTTGGAAATGGCAGTCCCGATGTATTCTCGACATTTGCTGCAATGAGTTCGAACAGTGGAAGCTTGGCAGTGGGCGAACTTATCGGGGCAGCAGGATTTATAACCGCTGTTGTGGCGGGATCGATGGCATTGGTAAGACCATTTAGAGTGGCGCGAAGGAGCTTTGTCCGTGATGTCGTATATTTTATTTTTGCTGCTAGCTTCAGTTTGATATTTCTAGCCGATGGGAAACTACACGTATGGGAATGTGCCGCAATGATTGCATTTTATGGATTTTACGTCCTTATTG